GGTTTATTGTGAATAAAGATAAAGTTCTATTTTGAAAAAGCAACATTTTTACTTTTTTTTTTCCCAAATTTTCTTTTTAGTGATAAGATGTTTCCAGCTTTTGGTTTTGGTGCTCAGTTACCTCCTCAGTGGCAGGTAAGGAAGAAAATCTCATTTTAAAGCGTTGCATCCTGGAAAAGCAAAATAGGCTTCATCAGTTCCTTTATCTTTTGATAGGTATCACATGAATTTCCAATGAACTTTAATCCATCCAACCCCTACTGTAATGGTAAGTTCAGAAGTCAACATGAAGGCTTCAGACAGAAGACTTTGCTACTCTTTGTTATTTTCTTGTGATTTAAAACGGTTCATATTTCTTCTCTAGGTTTCTTTATATGGCATATTTAAAGAATTATAGATAAGGTGTGAGAGGGCTTCAAAAAGTTCCTGGAAAAAACCCAGTATCTTTCAAGTCCGTTTTCCACAAACGTTTGAAGTCCTCTCTTATAAGAATTGTAGCAGGTGTGGTTGGGGTGATAGTAATAATTATGGAGGAAGTCATTATTGTAATGGTGAAGGTGGCAGGCTAAATTATACCTGAAGAGATATCATAGAACAAAAGGGTTGTTCTCAGTCTTGAAAGTAGATAAATAAGAATCGTCATACATTAAAAATCTTTTAACATTCAAGTTGATTTAAAAATAAACCTTAAGTAAAATAAGTAATTCAGCATACAGGCCTTTTGTAACTTGTTTTAAGTGTAGCAGTCACTGTATACAGAGAAAAAGTGTTCAGCATCTAATTTCTTGTTCAAAGTGTATTTTGTAAATAGATGTGGAGGTGGGTGAAAGGACCCAAGAATGGAACTCTTATAGCAACTTGCCTCTGTGTAAAGAACAGGAGAGAGACATTTGTCTTTCCTTTTGCTATTTTCCTTTTTTCTACACCAAATTTCCAAATTTCCAAGTGCTTTCTTGTTTTCACCCCACTGAGCCACCAACCTGAAATGCCACATTTCTGTGGAGAAGGTCTACTCTGTTCCTAAGGGTTGCCATGATTTAAAATTGACTTTGATAGCACTGAAAGGGTTTACAGGCAAAGAGCTATATAGGATACCATCACTCACCGGTCAGTTTGTCATACTGTGTTGGGCTGCATTGCTGTGATGTTGGAAGCTGTGCCATTGATATTTCAAGTACCAACAGTATCATCAGTGTAGTTAGGTTTGGGCAGAGCTTCCAGACTAAGACAGAATAGCAAGGAAGACCTGAGTATCTACTTCCAAAAATCAGCCAAAGAAAACAGTATGGATTAATAACAGACCGTTGTTTGATAAAGTGCTGGAAGATGAGACCCATAGGTTGGAAGACACTCAATACACAGTGGCCACAACAGTGTTCATGAGCCTACCAGCATTCATGAAGATGGTGCACAACTGGTCTGTGTTTCATTCTTTTGAACATGAGATTCCCCATGAGTCAGAACTGATGGCATCTAGCAACAACAACATAAAGGTCAACTCGGCAGTATTGTTAAAAGCAAAAGATGTAATTTTCTTATATTCATTCATCCCAAATCTAACAGTTAGTCGTATGTAAGCCAAGGGGAAAAATAAAATGCCACATTTCCTGCAAAATTTTATAACACTGAACAATTTGGAGGAGGAAAGAGACATGAGGGCAGAGCCATATATATATATTTTTTAAGTTTTTATTGTGATTTAAATAAAAGTTTACAGGGCCGATCATCAGTTTTACATTAAACAAATCATATACTTTGTTTTATTACAATGGTTACAATCTCTCCATGTACCATCAGTTAACAGTATTTCTATTCATTTTAGTCATTTTTTTTTTTTTTTTTAAACTCGCAGGCATATATAATTTACACCACCACAGGGCATCTTCTGCAAGTCTGCCTCCAGGCTGCCAGCTCTCAGTCCCTCTCTTTCCATGAATCTAGAGCTCAGCTGCTCTGTCTCTCTCCATGTCCCCATCTCTGTCTCCATCTCTGGTGTCACTGCTTTTCTGGTCTCTGGATGTTGTTGTTGTTGTTAGGTGCCGTTAAGTCGTTACCAACTCATGGTGACCCTGCGCACAACAGAACAAAACAGTGCCCGGTCCTGGGCCTACCTCACAATTGTTGCCATGCTTAAGACCATTGATGCTGTCACTTTGCCAATCCATCTACCTGGGGGTCTTCCTCTTTTTCTCTGACCCTCCACCTTACCAAACATGATATCCATCTTCAGCAACTGGTCCCTCCTGACAATATGTCCGAAGTATGAGAGACGAAGCTTGACCATCGTGGCCTCCAAGGAGCACTCTGGCACTCTGGCTGCATTTCTTCTAACACAGATATGTTAGTTCTTTTGGCAGCCCATGGCACTTTCAGTATTCTCCTCCAACACCATAATAGGGTCCCACAATCTGCTTGTGCTCTTCTCCTTTGATGGTCTTAGGGTCCTCTGTATCTGGACTGTAAGATTAACTATTCCACTATTTTTGTTACAAAACTTCTACCTTTACAAGTGTGAGAGTCACATTTAGTCATGATGACACTTACTCATTATTGAATCCTAAGAATCTTATCCCTATTTCTTCACCAGACCCATCTAGACAAGATTAAAACTATTCAATGGAGACTTTAACTTCCCCCACACATTCTTAAACTAAACTCCCTCTTGAAACCTTGTAAAGTAGTCACTTCATGCCTTTATCGCCCCCTCATTTTAGATAGCCAGTGTGTCAGTTGCCATCCCTGTGTACCCTGTATGCAGAGGGGTAGTATTGATACTTGATACAAAGACTCCTTCCCTCTCAGTTGGTATTTTGTGCTACTACCTCGATGAATGTAGGTCAAGTTCATCAAAGAGTAGCAATTTACACTCTTTCCTTTATCAGAAAACATTTTTTTTTTTATCTTCCCCTAGTCGAGTTCTGATTATCAAGCCATTGAGGCTAGGTCAAATGGGTACTATCTGCAAGTTTGGGTGTTCTTGTGTATCTCTCCTCACTTATCATCTAGGTGCTTCACTCTCAGCTCTAGTCCTCTTTGGCTATGCCCTTGTCCATGAGTTAAGGTGTCCCCAGGTCTCACCATACTTTGGACCAATCAGCCCTTCCCCTTTTCTCATGTCCAGGTCAACGGGAGTCTTTGGAACGTGGTTGAACTCAGCCCATTTCTTCATTTCTGCCTTTCCCCCTCTTGCACTTACCAGGAGACCAACGTGGTCACCAGCAAGCTTACATGCCTGCTTATGTGTTCCCTTTGAGTTTAAGTCTTGGAGCAGAGTTGTCCTGAATGGACTTGATTGCTTGTCTTGATAGATTCCTGGCGAACAACTTGTTTGTTCTTATAGTGGCCATTCATGCTGCCATTTTTGTTTTGGGTTTTTCCTGCTGATTTTTCTTTGAAGATGTTTCTTCTGTTGCTCTAGTTGTTCCAGGCTGGTCTGCTTGTCCTCTGTAGTGGGACTGTCCCACCTCAGAAGGTTCTGGAAGGGGCTCAGGTTTCCACCTAAGGTCCTGTACATTACAAAGGCTCTGCAAGAGGCCTGTTTTTCACTGGGCAATTTCTAGAACCCCTTTTAGGTATTCCAATCAGTTATAGGCTGAAGACAGGCTTACAAGCTTTCTGTAATCATGTTTCCTGACATTCCTTTCTGTCCCACTCAAGTGTCTATTTTACAGTTGTAGGCAAGAGTAACCAGTATTCATAAGACAGTCAAACTGTTAGTATTATTTCCCCTCTTCAGACTATGCCTTTATCCCTGTATCAGAAAACCCTGTTGTTCCAAGTTTAAGTATGCATCACTATTTACCGCTGTCCCATTTAGCCCATGCAAACCTGTGTCAGTGTTTCCCTATCTACCTCAGAGGCATATTTTAAAAGTCTACATAATGAGCTAATTGTCTGCAAATGGTCCTATTGACAGTCTCACAATGTAAGGATTTTTGGCAGATGGGAACATTGTTTTTCTTTTCTTCCTAAACAGCATTTATTAAGAGGAAAAGCCTGAACATCTCATTGGGGATAGTTTGCTGTTAGGGTTTCTCATTTTTTTCTTGGATATTTGACCTGCATTAATTGAGTGCTCTTTTGAGGCATTTTTGGTGACTGGCTTTGGCTTTTTTTGTTTCGAACCAGTTGTAACTGGGAATATTATTCTATTCGAGAAATGTGTTTTTTGCTTAATGGTGAAATTGGAATGTATTTTAAAATTAGTAATAATTATGTTTATTAGAAATAAATATTGATGGCATATCACTTGGTGATTCATTTTAGACATTAATTTGGGGGAGGATCAGCGAGATATATTGACACACTGGCTGCAGCAGTGAGCTTGAACATAACAATTGATGGCGGATGATGATGGCGGATTAGGCAGCGTGTTGTTGGACATCGTGATGCTGTGAGTCAGCCCTGACTCAACAGTACCTAGCAACGGCAACATGAGTCATGTGCGGACATTGGGACGCTTCCCAACTAAGTGTACCTTTTCTATTCTTGGTTTATTGTCTGGGGAAAGATTCAGTTTGCTAATGGATAAAGGAGACGCTATACAGAAATATATAGCTTTAAGACCAACTAAAACTTGTCATAGTTAATCATTGAAGTTAGTCATTGTTAAGTGCTGTTGAGTCGGTTCAACACATAGTGATCTTGCATAGGCTTTTTGAGGAGCGACTGGTGGGTTTGAACCTCTGGCTTTGTGGTTGCAGTTCAATGTTTATCCTACAGTGTCGTGTCAGGACTCATTGAAGTTAGTTGCCTAAAAAGAACATTTTTCACTTGTTCTTTTAAAACGTGGTGGTGGTGGTGGTATGCCGTGGAGTTGGTTCCAACTATAACTGCCCTGTGTAGGGTTTCTGAGGCTGTAAATCTTTATGGGAACAGAAAGCCTCATCTGTCTCCCATAGAACAAAGTAAGTAAAAACTGCAAAGGAAGGATTTTGGTATAATTTAGTTTCAGTTCAAGAATCTAAGGCAATTGATATTTGCGAAAAAATTATTGAACAGTTTTGGTATAGCGCTATAGGATAAGTTCTGGACTGATAACCACAAGTTCGGTGGTTCGAATCCCCCAGCCACTCTATGAGAGTAAGATGAGGCTTTCTGCTCCCATAAAAATTGACAGCCTCAGAAACCATATACAGTGTTGCTGTGAGTCAGAACTGATTGGAGGGCACTCAACAACAAAGGCTTGGTTTTCCTACAGAGCATTCTGTTGTAGGGAAGATCCTGCTGCTGGCCTGTCTTAATATTTTTATTATTATTGGACTAACTGATGGTGCCATATGATAAGCACTGAACTGCGAACCACAAGGCCCACGGTTTGAGCCTGCCAGGCACTCAGCAGGAGAAAGATGAGGCTTTCTGCTCCCATGAAGATTTAAAGCCTTAGATGCCTATACAGGGTTGCTATGAGTTGGAAACAATTCCATGGCACTTAATACTAACCAGCATCAACTGACTAATGCCTACAGCATCATCTCATGCATAGAGAGTTACAACTGGTTATGATTAGTTACGTTCCCAGAGGTTGTTCATCAGATCACATCTCTTAAGTCCCAATAACTAAGAGAAGTTTACTGGAACTCAGAAATAGTGAAGAGTTGCTCTGGCAAAGCTTTTAAACCAACATCCTGTGTTCTCTTGGGCATTTTTAAAGGAATTGCCCCATTTTGTTATACATTAAAAGTTATTTTGAGACAGATTTTCTTGGTTGGTTTTCTCAGCAAGTATTGAGAATTCTTAAGGATTTATAATATCCTATTTGTATCTTGGACTTTCTAGTATTAGAGGAAGATTCAGTAGGTGCATATTATTTCTGCAGCAAAAGATAATGACTGTTCACCTCAATGCAGTGTTCTGGAAGTGAATATTTGCAAGTTAATACAACCTACCATGTTATGCTTAACCATTAAGTTATTGAATAAATCCTTGACTATAATTAGCATTTGATTAATAGCCTCTGTCCATATATACAAAAATTTTTCCAGCTCATCGAGAATTTTGTTTTATTGTCAGTTGTATGATGATAGTACTTTTTCATGGTTTTTTTTTCGCCCATTAGAATCTCATTCTCAAATCACATCATAGTTAAGCACAAGTAAAGCTCTTACACTGTAGCCTAATGAACAGTTTAGCTGAAATGAAAATCAATGTCTTCTACTAGGGGTAGGGTAGTGGGTTACATTCAGCAGTTTTTCCTTGGGAGAAAGATGAGGCTTTCTGCTCCTATAAAGGTTTATATCCTTAGAAATCCTATACAGGGTCAATGTAAGTCAGAACTGACTCAACAGCACACCACCACCACCACCACCACCACCACCACCGCTGCTGCTGCTGGGGGTGGGCAGAACAGATATGTTTTTCCTACGGGGTATAACGGTGTAACTATGGAGTTTTGTGATACATAGTGTAGAAGAACTCCTGATTATAGAAAGACTGTTTAAAGTGCTGTATGTTGATGTATCTTATCAAATTAGCAAGTATGGTGGATAATAATTAAGTTGCCTTTAGAAGTTCTAATACTGCTTTTGTTGTCTAGGAATTCAGGGCATTGTAGAAGCGTATCGGGCCTGCCTTCCTCAGATAAAACTCTATGGACCAACTAATTTTTCTCCAATCATAAATCATGTGGCCAGGTTTGCTGCTTCAGCCACACAACAACAGACAGCTTCTGTAAGTGCTCCGTGGTCAGGGGACAGGGCAAATACAGATTGGTTATTGATTCTGCTGCTGCTGCCATTTTTCCACATGTGTAGACCATTGAGATACAAAATCAGGGCAGGAAGCAATGATATGGTCATTGGATTCATATTTGATGTCATTAAATTAGTGAATCCTTAAAAACAAGACAATATTCACATAGGAGTCTTTTCTCTAGCTTTTAAATTAATTTCAATCAGTGACTTATCTCTACTTTTTTGAAGTAGGTTTAACAAATTAAGGATTGAGGAGATTACCATTTCACTTACTGTTGCAGGACTACTTACTGTCCTAAAGGTTTGAATCAGCTAACCCTTACCTACTGGATCTTGAATACCAAATCTCTCTTCACTTTAGTATACTCAGCAATAAGTATAGAGTAAGTAGGGATAACTATCTCATATGATTGTTGACAGAGCCAAATAAGAATTCATACAAAGTGTACATGTTAACTACTGTTATAAAAATATTATTCCCATTTTAAATTTAAATCACCCAAAAGATGGGGGTCTCAACTTTTTGTTACATTTTACCATTCTCTGAAAAGTTTTATCAGGTTAAAAGAATTGAGAGAAAAATTCCCCTACAACCGTTATCTATTTTTTATAACTGTATTTTTAAACAATGTGTTTGTTTTAGTATGGTAAACAATTCTGCTTCATCCATATTTGTTCTTCTGCTAGTGAAGTTGTTACATGTTCACTTGATAGATACTTTAACATATTTAGTATTTAAATTAAATCTAAGCATAGAGTCCTATGTTTATTGAAGATTGAATCCACAGCATTTAGATACCTTGCTTTCATGTATTTGTGCCAATACTACTTTGTGATGTGCTGCACTTTTAATGAACCTATAGTTCTTGCATGAATGGATTTCCTTGCCATCAAAGGATCTTAGGATGTTTCATGCAAATAGAATCCTGGGTAGAGAATGACAAGGAAAATGAGCAAGAAAGAGACAACATTATTCATGAAACTAGAGATGCCATTAACTGTTGCTTTCGTTGTTTGGTAGCTGTGTCTATTCAGTGGACATCATTTCCTTTTTGCCCTTGGTAAGAACCAGCTGCTGCTGAATGTAACAGAGCCTTTCCTTTTTTGGCAGCAATATTTTGTGCTCTTGATTATTACTGATGGAGTGATCACAGACCTTGATGAAACCAGACAAGCTATAGTCAATGCTGCCAAACTGCCCATGTCCATCATCATTGTTGGAGTTGGAGGTGCTGACTTTAGTGCCATGGAGTTTCTGGATGGTGATGGTGGAAGTCTCCGGTCCCCAACAGGCGAGGCAGCCATCAGAGATATCGTCCAGTTTGTGCCTTTCAGACAGTTTCAGAATGTGAGTACCACCCCACCCCATCTTGGTGCACAGTCAGATGCTTGAGCACACACCATTGGTAATCCACAACCAAGAAGTTAAGTGAGTGTCCAAGGTTAGAGAAATATGTGAACGTGATCTCTTTACTATTTGAAGAGCCCTGATTTGATTTGGCAGCTTTATTTCAGGGTGTGTATGTGTTTGCTTCTTGCAGGCTCTGTGATCAATTGTTTAAAACTGTGTTGTCATTATTCAACCATAAAGAAAAATGAATTTCTGATATATGCCATGGCATGGGTGAACCTTGAACGTGTTATCGTGAGAGAAATAAGTTAGACACAAAAGGACAAATGCTATATGATTCCACTTATGTGAAATTCCTAGATAAAGCAGATGCATGGAGATCAGAGTTCATTAGTGATTGCTAGGGGCTAGGAAGAATGGGAGGTAGATGCCTAATGGGTATTGAGCTTCTGTTTGGGTGAGGAAAGTATTTGGAAAGGATAGTGGTGCTGATTGCACAACATGGTGAATATAATCAATGTGACTGAATTCTGTACTTGGTTAATGGTTAAAATGGCAAATGTTCTGTTACATACACTTTGCCCCAATACAATTAAAAAAAGAGCAAAACACTACCACCAATAAAACTATATTGCTATGAATATCTTAGATATGTTTTATCTTTTCCTTTGTAATGATTGAAGAAAACTACAAATATATGTTGAATTTACCAGACTGGAAGATGAGTTGATGAACTCTCTGGGGGACCCTTTTAACAATTCCTCCTAATAATAATAATTTGCAAAATGACAGTGCAATATCATAGCCAGGATATTGGCATTGATGCAGTTATGCTACAGAACATTTCCACCACCACAAGCATCCTCATGTTAATTTAACATTTTGATTGTTTTCCTTGATAGGCTGCCCTTTCTGTAGTCCTCTGGCAAGACGGAGCGGACACTTGTTAGGGCTTTTAAAAATGTGTGTCCTTGGGTTTCCCCATACTGCCAGGTTCCCTAGTATGCAGCCAGATATATGAGTACATAAAGCAAAAAGGGGCCCCAGGGAACTCGGCACTGTGTTGTTCCTTGGGTCCTAAGGTCTCTAGCGAATCGACCTCCTTTTCTTCAGAATGCTCTGGTGTTTTGTTTTATGTACAATATGAACAGTTTTGGGGTTTACTTAGTGAGAAGAGAAAGGAAAAGTACATTTACTTCATTTCTTCATCTTCATAGAAGCAAATGTCTTATGCGAGGGAGCTTCAAAAAGTTTGTGGAGAAATGTTATTAAAAGATAATGAATTGTTTCTTGAACTTTTGATTTGAAGCCCTTTTGTATCTACTTTTAAAAAGGAACTATACTTTCCTAGAACTATTCAGTAAGTTCTTTAGAATCACAGGATAAACATCAATTTTATTTCTATGAGGGTGAGTCAAAAATTATCTGCACTGTGGTTATATTAAAATGCCTGTCCACGGCGTTGGCAACATTGAGCATGCACATGAAATGATTCTATTGAATAGAAGAGTGAAAGTGCATTATGTGGCAGATCATTTGCAAATCACCCATGGCTTTTCTTCCAAAATAATTCCTGACAGACTTGGGTTTTGAAAAGTTTGTGTGAGATGGGTACCGAAACCACTCATGGAGCAGCATAAACAGAAGCATTTGGACATCTGCAAACAAGATTTGGACCAGTACTCGAAGGAAGGTGTGAGTTTCTTTAAAACAATCCTTACTGGTGACGAGACATGGATTCATCACTATGAGCCTGAGAGTAAATGCAGAGTATGGAATGGAAACATCCTCAATTGCCAACTGAGAAAAAGATCAAAAGTCAACCATCAGCTGGAACATTGATGCTTATAGTTTTCTGGGATTCTCAGGGGCCAGTATTGGAACACTGTGTGGTGAAAGGTTCAACAATCAACAGTGCTCTTTACAGTGAGATGTGTTTAAGTTATGGTGTTGGAGGAGAGTGCTAAAAGTACCATGGGCTGCCAAAAGAACAAATAGATCTGTGTTGGAAAAAGTACTGTCATAATGCTCCTTGGAAGCCAGAATGGCCAGACTTTGTCTCTCATGCTTTGGACATATTAACAGGAGGGACTAGTCACTGGAGAAGGATATCATGTTTGGTTAAGTGGAAGGTGAGAGAAAAAGAGGAAGACCTCCAATGAGACGGATTGGCATTGTGGTGGCAGCAGTGGGCTCAGGCATAGCAATGGTTTTGAAGTTGGCCCAGGACCGGGCAGTGTTTCGTTCTGTTGTGCACAGGGTCTCTTTGGCACCTAACAACAACAGCAAAGTTCACTGAAGAGCTAAAGCCTAAACCTCAAACTTTGGATTGAATGCAGAGGACTGCTATCCAAGGCGGTTGTGATCTTGCGTAGCAATGCACGTCCACACACCTCTGCCCATGTCTTACTTAACCTCTGTTGACTCTGAAAAAACTTCCTTTTGAGGTGTTAAAGCATGCTCCCTGTAGTCCTGATCTTGCTTCATTGGACTTTCACCTGTTTGTTCCCCTAAAAGCAGCCCTTCGAGGATGAAGATTCACCTCTGATGAAGAAGAAAAGACAGTGGTGCATTCTTGGCTCGCAGCTGAGTCTGAAACATTTTAAAATAGGGAATATGAAAACTTGTTGATAGATGGACAGAGTGTACTGAAAAGCAAGGATATTGTGTCGAAATGTGATGTGTTTGTCTTTTCTAAAAGTTGATTAAAATAAATTCTACAACCAGAGTGCAGATATTTTTTGGCTCATCATCATATACTAGGTTTGAATATGCAAAAATCATAATTCAGAATACACCAATGACAATCACTCAATACGAAAATGAAATTTTTTTGTTGTTAAGTATCATCAAGTCAGTTTTGACTCATAGCGACCCTCTATAGGATTTCCAAGAAGTGGCTGGTGTGTTTGAACTGCGAACCTTGTGGTTAGCAGTCTAGTGCTTATTCTACAACACTACACCAGGACTCCCTAGGTATAAAATTAAGAATACATGGATAGAACTTATATTCTATAAAATAAAATACGTTCAGAACCATTATCCACTAGGTAAATGCCAATTAAAACCATGACGTGTGTTATGAGTTGGGCTGCTAACTGCAAGGCCAGCAGTATGACTTACCATCTTCTCTGCAGGAGAAAGATGAGGCTTTCTGCTCCTGTAAAGATCTACAGCCTCAGAAACCATACATAGACAGTCTCTATGAGTTGGAACCGACTCAATAGCACATCACCACTAACCACCACCACCACTGAGATATCCTTATACACCTATTAGGACACCTAAAATAAAAAGTAACAAAATCATGAGAATAAATGCTAGCGAGAAGGTAGAGAAATTGGATCAGCAATTCGTGGGGATATACAATTGTATAGCCACTCTGAAAAGCACTTGGATAGTTTCTTTTAAAAACTAAACATACAGTTATTAAGTGCTGCTGTAACAGTAATACTACAAGTGGCTAGTTTTAACAAATTGATTCTCTCATAGTTTAGGAATCTAGAAGTCTGAATTGAGAGTGCTGACTCTGGAGAAAGGTCCTTGCCCCCTTCCTGCTTCTGTAGACCCAGAATTCCTTGGTGATTTCCATGCTTCTTGTCATCAAAATCCCTCTGGGTCTTGGAGCTTCACAGTGCAGGCAGCCCAGATCTGAAGGACACACTACTCCTGACTCTCCTTTCTTGGTGGTAGTGGGTCCCTCTGAGCACTGCTTACCTGTTGTATCTTGCAAGAGGCTGACTCAAGATACAGCCTAATCCTGTAGATTGAATCTGTACTTATTAACATCATAAAAGTTTGAGGATTTACAACATATAGGATACTTACTTAGATCAGGGCCAGTCACATCAGATCACGTCACGGGGGATGATTGCATCCTGTTAAGTCTTATCATGGAGATAATTATTACATCTTAACCACTAAATCCTGAGAACCCTAGCCTAGCCACATTGACACAAAACCTTAACTTACACCTGCCATATGACCTAGCAATCTCTTCTGGATATTTGTCATAGAAAAAGAAAACACAAAGCGTACATTAATGTTTATAGCACCTTTCTTTGGGTGAATGCTTAAACTGTGGTTCCTTCCATACTACTCAAATATTCCTTCATGGAACAATTTGGATGGATTTGATGGGAATTGTGACGTGTGAAAAAACTGACATTAAAAGGTCATATGAGTCCATTTATATAACATTCTTGACAAAATCCTAGAGATAGAGAACAGATTCAGTGACTGCTAGGAGTCAGGAGATTGGGGAGTGGGAGACTGAAACATCAGAGTGATGGAATAGTTTGGTGTCTTGATTGTGGTGGCAGTCATACAAATCTGCATCCAAGAAAAATCAAACCTAGTGCTGTCGAGTTGATTCCAAGTTATAGCTATCATGTAGGGCAAAGTGAAACTGCCTCAGAGGGTTTCTGTGGCTGCAGTTTTAGTGGAAGGAGATTGTCATATCTTCTTCCAGTCCACATCTGTGGAGTGGCTGGTGGGTTTGAACTGCTGACCTTTTGGTTAGCAGCTGAATGTTTAACCACTGTGCCCCCAGGACTATTACAAATGTATATATGTGATAAGATTGCAGAAGGTTACACACACACACACAAATGAAAACCTTTAAAACTGGTGACATTTGTACCAGATCTGTGGACTGCGCTAATGTTGATTTCCTGCCTTGTTAGTGTGCTAGTTATATAAGATATTACCTATGAGGAAAGTAGGTGAAAGGTACATGGGGCATCTCTGTACTACTTTTGCAACTTTCTATGACTAATAATTTTTAAATAAAAAATTAGTACCAGATGAATAAAATACCTACTTGTAAAAGTTTTTAAAAAAGTGATAAATCTATTGTCCATTATAAGTGATAAATAATAAAATACTGGCACCAAAATTGGACTTGGCAGGGATAATCTCAATAAAATATATAAGCACAGAAACGAGATAATTGCCAACTTTTACTGACTGGTTAAATAGTCTTTTGCCAAAAGACTAGTAAAAATTATGATTGCCAGTAAAGTCAACTTTGATTTTGCTTTTTACCAGGCTCCAAAGGAAGCACTTGCTCAGTGTGTCTTGGCAGAGATTCCCCAGCAGGTGGTGGGCTACTTCAACACATATAAACTCCTTCCACCGAAGAACCCAGCTAAGAAATAAGTCGTGTGGCCACCTCAGCCCAAGTTTTTTGTGCTGCGTGGAGCAGTGGATTCCTTTCTCATCTCATCATGAATCTGTCAGAGAAAATGTCAAGTTCATTGTTTCCCAGTCAATTCAGTGATTGCGGGTGATTTATAATTGCAGTGAGGCACCTTGTAATAGAAAGTGTACGGAAACCTAATTTTGTTGTTGCTTTCTTTTCATAAAAGGAAAATGTTATTCTTGAATGTTTGTCAGTAAGAAAGAATGAAATATTGTTAGGATAATATAATTTTGCTCTAGTCAGTGTATATTTTGAAAGCCAGAGTCCATACCTGAATAAGAGAGCTTCTTAAATGAGATAATATTGAATGTGATCCTGACTCTGCATTCAGTGTTTTTCACAGGGTTAAAAACCACTTTCACTTGTTCCTGAATTTTGCCAGTTAAGAAATGGTTTATAAATACCCATGCAATTGCACAGGACTTCATGTGAAGTTGTTGTTAGGTGCCGATATTGTGAGAAGGGAAGCCATAAATAACCAGTTTCTAAAATGTACAATCAGCAAGTCAAAAGAATTTGATGTAAGTGAGCTATTTTCATTTGGTTTTCGAGATCTTTTATTGTGAAAATCTGCAGATATGGTCAGATTTGAGTTTTCTTTTCATTGATTGTATGCGATGCACAAGATTCTGTAGATGCTAAATTGACGATTTGTCCAGGTTTTACATTTTTAGCTTATTTTCACTGGGGTTTGTTAAAATGGTTAGGATTGCTTTGTCTCCAGGTAACAAGTGAGGACCAAACAAATAATGGGATATTAATTTCCTTTTAACTAATGAAAGGGAAAATTGTGGCTCCATACAATAAGCACTGAACCACAAACTGCAAGATTTGTGGTTTGAGTCTGCCAGCTGCTCCACAGAAGAAAGATGAGGCTTTCTCCTCCTAGGACGATTTGAAGCCTTGGAAATCCTATACAGGATTGCTATGAGGAACAGACTTGATGACACTTAGCAACAACAACAGCTAATGAAAGACTTTACTTATAAAAAGACAATTTTTATACTTTCCTTGCTAAGGTTCCATACATTTTACATAATGTTGTTGTTGTTAAGTGCCACCGAGTCGATTCCTGCCCATAGCGAGCAACCCTGTATAGAGTTTCTAAGGAGTAGCTGGTGCGCTTGAACCACTGACCTCGCAGTTCAAATGACTTTGCATATAGAATCATTTAATGTTTTCTTTTTGTTTAAATAACATTTTTAGTATGATTTTTAAACTCATGAGCTCATGATACCAATCTATTAATCAGAATCACATATTGCATTTTAATGATGTGTTATTCTAAGCCTACATTGTATTGTATTAAGCATAAAATCTGCTGTAACTGTAATCTATTATAACTTGAAAAAAAGAATTTTGCAATTGCTACATTAGGATCGAGTGGTCTTTTATTTGCTTTTTTGAAAAGTAAAAATTTCTCCCTTGACTTTTACCTTTTAGAATATATTGCTTAGAGACCATTACGTTTTCAAATTAGATTCAGTACCATTTTTGGAACCTATGTGCCAAGTGCTATGTATAACCATATATTAGCTGAGCATTTTTAACAATTCAGCATTAAAATTGTGCTTATCACACATCTTTTAAGTTTATGCACACAACATGGTGCTGACCCGCCTTTCAGTTTTATTGAGAAATACGCACGCCTGCCTACTCCTCTTATGCTCTGCATTGTCGGAAGAAAGTGAGCTCTCAGCTTTGATTTCTTAGAAGCAGCTCTTTGTGAAAGTCAGGCCGAGAGGGGACCTGTTTACTGTCATGGTTGCCTAGCCCCAGTGAGCAGTTAGACCTTCCCATGTGGCTTGCTGGCCTCTGTATATCTGCTGGTAACCTGAAGGTAATTAACTTGTAGTTTATTCTTCTACTTAGTGTGTCTTGCTAGTTGGTAAGTCAGTTTGATACTCATAATTTCAAGAGAAGAAAACGGATTGTGAAATAGTTTGGCATTGTATTGTCTAACATGTTTTAATTTCAGTTATTTTTATGTGCTTGGAAAAAGTATAGATCTGTTGCTCTGGCTTTCAGGTTTTTTCTTTGATTCAAATGCAGGAAGCCCCCTTTTTCTTTTGATTGTGAAAAAATATACACAGCAAAACATCCATCAATTCATCAATTTTCTACATGTATAATCCAATGACATTGATAATTCATGTTGTATAACCATTCTCAGCAACCTTTTCCAAATCTGTCACCATGGACACAAACTCACGGCCCCCAAAGCAAGCACTTTCCTTTTCCCCCTCCTCCCTATGCTTGGTAACTACTGATAATCTTTGGTTTCTGTGTACTTGCTTATTTCATATAAGTTTTTGTTCTTTTGTGATTTATTTATCTTGTTCAGCATAATGTTTTCAAAGCTCATTTATGCATAGCATGCATCAAGGACTTAATTTCTCTTTATAGTGGAGTAGTATTAATAAATTAATATGTATATATCTATATAGATATAGCTATATATACTCACACACCCCGTGTTGTGTGTCCATTCATATACCACAGTTTGCTTATTTATCTGGAAGCTTTCTTTGAACAGTTCTCAGTGTATGATTGAAACCAAGCAGAAGTGAAGCATCTCTGTTTGAAGCAGGGGCAGGGCTTCAGTCCTCATTCATGGCGCTGCCTCCCGTGCATCCTTACCCAAGCCCGTCAGCAGTGCCTGAGCCACCTGCAGAGGACACTCAGGCACTGCTGTCACCACCGTACACTAGATTGAGTCTAATTTTATATTCTGGTTTTATCAGAATGGTTTCCTTTAAATGTTTCCTTATTCATTATTGATCAGATCATCAGAAGAAGCTGTTATTCAGAAGCATCATTTCATCAAATTAAATTAATTGGTAACTTTTTGCAGTTTTGGATAAAAGCATTAATAATTTCTAAATAATCATTTTATAGGTCTTATAGTTTCAACACACCACCTAATCACATACTGATTTAGTATTGTTTTATGGTAAAGTTATCCCTTAATTTCGTCACCATTGATTTATACGCCATGGGTTTTCAAAATGTATTAGAAGAAAAAAATAATCAAAGTGAAACTTGTATGTGATCAGGTGTATTACAGACATATTGGAGTGAGGTACCCTGGATAGATATATTGTTTCTCACATATACCTTTATTATTCTCTGAGAAAATGGTACACCAATGGGGCTAATCATTAGGTTTACTACTTGCAATCATTGGAGGAATTTAAAAAGTCTGACAATCTCACTAACCATAAAGAGTTTATAATTTAGTATGAAAAAGGAGACTGAATTCAGAATTCAGACATTTTAATAGTATAAAATCTATGGGATTTATCACTGTTCCGTTTCTGCCTTATGGAGACCTTCCAAAATAAATTCATGGGTCTATTGCTGCTTGTGCTGTATTTTGATAAACTTTGTCTTTTTCATTTTGTAAATTTCTGGGAACGCCATTTCAGTAAATGTTTGCTAGTCTCCTTATGTGTGTGGTTGATAGGATGGAAGTACATGCAAGGTAAGCTTACAGAAGTTGTAGATTGTGAGAGACTATTATGCTTTTATGATGTTATACTTGTTATTAAGTATATATGTTACTAATATATCAATTGATGTTAAATGTATCTTCCTCTTGAATTCCCTTTGGATAAAGTTATTTCTTGATATAATCAACTAGTATCTTGTTTTCCTTTTTATTCTCAGTATGCTATCAGAACCAATAGAAAATGGTAGAAATAAAGTGAATATTGTATTTTCTTGTTTTTTGATAAGTGTTGCTGAATAGATTTCCAACTCATAGCGACCCTGTATAGGGTTTCCAAGGAGTGACTAGTGGGTTTGAACTGCTGACCTTGTGATTAGCAGTCCAGAGTTTATCCTGCAGTGCCATACCAGCATCCTGTTCTATATTTTTGTGTTCTGGTGCATTAATGTGCTGGACTGCAAGGTCAGATTGAACCGCAAGGTCAATCTGCAATTCAAGCTCACCAACCGCTCCTCGGAAACCCTATCTATACAGGGTTACTATGAGTCAGAACCTACTTGACAGCACTTAACAATAATTCTATATTTGATGGAGTTTAACAAATAAGGAGATTTTATTCTATAGGATTTATTCATTCGAAAAGAAACTGTTTTAAGTAAAGGAAAGGTTCTCATCTCCCGTTGACTCTCATTTTGTCAGGCAGAATATCTAATTAAAAAAAAAAAAAAAAAGCTTCTGTTAGGTTCCAGACACTGTGCAAGGTATTGGGGATACAACAGTGACCAAGGCAGCCACATTGCAGTACTCATAGGAATAATGATATAGTTGGTGGGGAGAGATCAGACTGTATCATCCCGAACTTGCTAAGGAGCTGATTTTAGGTCAGTCATCTTTCTAATTTTGTGTTTTTCCTGCCACAATCCTGCCTCCATATCAGATCATTGTTAGGCCCATTGTCATAATCAGTTCCTTACTGGTTCAGAGGTTGGCTCAAATCTGGTAATATATAAGCAAAGACCATCACCCTTGTCACCAAGCTTGGAGATGGTTAGCCAAATTCTCCAGGAAACTCAGCAGCTTCTGCTGTCCTTACAGAATTGTACTTTGGCTTACCATTGACTTTTTCCTCCACCAAAAGAATTCGACAAAAATCCTTACATGTGGACTTTTGACTTCTTACAACCTGGGAAACCCCCAAATCAATAATCAGTTGCCATCCAGTCAATTCTGATTCATGGCAATCCCATGTCTGTCGAGTAGAACTGTGTTCCGTAGGGTTTTCAATGGCTGATGTCTGATCTTTCTTACTATGTGACTTTGGCTGGACTTGAACTTCCAGTCTTTCAGTTATCAGCTAAGTGTGTGAATCATTTGTACCATGCAGGTATTCCACACCTTGCAGAGTCATATCACTAACTTAGCTGCTACTAAGTTTTGTAGCTGCATCTGGCCTTCTAGGAGTGTATTCAGGATTTTCAGGAGTTAGGTAGTTCTCAGACAAAAGAC